TTTTAAGAGAGAGATTTAAAATAATGGGTTTTATTACTTCCATTGTAGGACAAACACTGTGCTGGTCACTGCATAGCAACAGCCTCTGGACTGAGGTGCTGTATATTTGCTTCTGTACACACTTGGATGCTGGAGGGGTTTACAAGGAAAGGGACTTGTTCTTTTCCTTCAGTGAAATTTTTAGGAATTCTGAAAGTTTCAAATATCAGAGTTTCTGTTTCCTGTCTGAAGATCTTCCATTACCCTGTGACTGTTGGTTTAGAGTATTGATTTTACAATTTGCCTTTCAGCAGCTCAATGCTGACACTGGGAAATATGTTAACATACACCTTACAGCGAGAGCTATACACCCATTATACTGCTATTAACAGACTGCAATCCTCCACCTGCTGGTGTTGCTCATTAACACAGCCTTTAATTCATCTCTAAGTCCCTTATGAAAGAGAATGTGAGGCACAGGGCTATCGAGTTGGACTAATCACTGAATCGCTCCATGCAGAAGACCATATTTGCACAAGCCCCATGAATAATTCAGTATCCTGCCTTTTCTCTGTAACCCTGAAAATTGTTTCTATTTAAACAGAATCATCCCTCTGAACACCTCAATTGAACCTGCCTCCTCCTCCACACTTCCAAGGAGTACATTCCAAAACCTAACCATTTGTAAGAAAAAGCTTATTTACACTTGTATTTGCTTCTTTTATAAAATACTTTAAATCTGTCCCCTCTGGTTCTTGATTCTCTTATGAACAGGAGCAGTTTCTCTCTATCTATCCTGTCCAGGTGCCTCTTCAATTTGTAATTTTTTTTATTAAATCTCCTCTCAGCCAAGAAAAACACACAGTCTCAACCTTTCCAAACTATCTTTGTAGTCAAGTGATTGAGAAACAGTTAAGAGTTGAAGTATATTGTCAAAGGGAGAATAAGAAGCAAGGAGTAGTTGTACACTTTGGTAAGAACGGTATAGTAACGGAAAGGGTTAAGGCTTTGCGGAGTGAACATAGAAGGCTAGGTTAAAAAGCAGAACCTCAAAAGGTAATCATCTCTGGTTTACACCTGGTGCCATATTCTAGTGAGCGTAGGAATAAAAAGATAGGGCAGATAAATCAATGGCAGAAGAGTTGGTGCAATATGCAAGGGTTCAGATTTTTGGATCATTGCAATCTCCTCTGGGGCAGAAAAGACTTGTTCAAAGGGATGAATTTTACCTGAACTGGAAAGGAACCAATATCCTGGTGGGGAGATTTGCTTTGGGTCTATTTCAGGAGCCTTTAAACTTGTTGGGGGAGGGGCACAGTTTCCTAAGTATTGGTGAAAATAGAAAGAGAGATGAGGATGGTTCTAAATCAGAAAACAGCAAATTAGTTAGAAAAGACAGACAAGAGCAAGTCAGAGGATGAGGTTAACTCTGAAGAATTAAACTGCATTTATTTCAATGCAAGGGGTCTTACAGGTAAAGCTGAAGAACTCTGGGCATATATGGGAACATGGGATAGGAACATGATAGCCATATTTCTGTAATAGCAAGGGAGGGACAGGACTGCATCTCAATGTCCTGGGGTATAGATGCTATAGGAAGGATATAAAGGGAGGCAAGAGAGGCAGGGAGGGGAGTGGTGTTTTTGATGAGGGAAAATGTTATGCTATACTTATAGATGATATTTCTGAGGGATAGTCCAGTGAAGCTACATTGATGGATTTGAGAAATAAGAAGGGGATGATCACTTTGATGGGATTGTATGTAGCCCACCCCACAATAGTCAGAGGGAAACTGAAGAGAAAATATGCAGTGAGATTGCAGATATACACGAGAATAATAGGGTTATAAAAGTAGGGGATTTTAACTTTCCAAACATAGATTGGGACTGCCAAATTGTTAAGGGTATGGGTGGTGAGGAATTTGCTAAAAACAAAAATAAGGAAGGATCACTCAACCTGACACATTAACATTGATTTCTCTCCACAGATGCTGCCAGACCTGCTGAGGTTTTCAAACAATTTCTGTTTTTGTTTCAGATTTATAGCATTCACAGTTCTTTCAGTTTTTATTTAGGAATTTATTAAATGTTTTCAAGAAACTTTTCTTTTTCAATATATAAATGTTCCTACCAGACAAGGAGCACCACTTGACCTCCTCTTGGGAAATAAAGCAGGGCAGGTGCATAAAGTGTTAGTGGGGGACCACCTTGGGGCAAGTGATGAGAATTCTGTTAGTTTAAAACTGGTATGGAAAAGGATAGACCTTCCATAAAAGTTAAAGTTTTTAACTTTTTTTTAAATGGTAGGAGACAGGAACTTTCAAATGTTGATTGGAATCAGCTGTTCACAGGTAAAGGAATGACTGACAAGTGGAAAGCTTTCAAAAGTGAGATAAGGAGTTCACATGCATTATGTTCCTGTTAGAGTGAAGGGTAAGGCTGGTAAGATTAGGGAACAATACATAAATAAAGACATTGAGCATCTGGTCAAGAATAAGAAAGAATCATATATTAGATATTGATAACTGGGATCAAATGAATCTCTTGAAGAGTATAAATGGTGTAGGGGCATTCTTAAGAGGAAAATCAGGAGGGCAAAAAGGGATACGAGATAGCCTGGGCAGATAGGGTTAAGGATAATCCAAAGAGATTTGACAAGTATGTTAAGAGCAAAAGAGTAACTAAGGAGACAATAGGGCCAGTGAGGTCATCTATGTGTTGAACCTCAGGAGATGGGAAAGATACTAAATGAATATTTCACGTCAGTTTTTTTACTGTGGAGAAAGAAATAGAAGCTAGAGAACTCAGGGAAATAAATATTGATATTTTGAAAACAGTTCACATCACAGAAGAGGAGGTGCTGGAGGTCTTAGAAAACATTAAGGTGGATAAATGTCCAAGACCTGATCAAATGTATCTCAGGACACTGTGGGAAGTTGGAGAAGAAATTGCAGGGCCCCTAGCAGAAATATTTGCATAATCTATAACCATCGGTGAAGGGTGGCTAATGTTGTGATTTTATTTAAGAAAGGTGGTAATGAGAAGCCTGGGAACTGTAGACCATTGAGTCTGACATCAGTAATGGGTAAGTTGTTGGAGGTGACTCTGAAAAGATAGGATTTACATGCATTTGGAGAGGCAAGGGCTGATTAACGATAGTCAGCATGGCTTTGTGCATGGGAAATCGTCTCTCATAAACTTGACTGAATTCTTTGAGGAAGCAACCAAAAAGATTGACGAGGGCAGAGCAGTAGGTGTTTTACTTGGACTTTAGTAAAGCCTTTGACAAGGTTCCACATGGCAGACTAATTAGTAAAGTTAGATCACATGGGATTCAGGGAGAGCTTGCCAATGGGATACAAAATTGGCTTAACGACAGGAGACAGAGGGTTGGGGTGGAGAGTTGCTTTCTGGATTGGAAGTCTGACCAACGGTGTTCCACTTTTGTTTGTCATTTACATAAACGATTTAGATGAGAACATAGGAGACATATCTAGTAAGCTTGTGGATGACACCAAAGTTGGTGGTATTGTGGATAGTGAAGAGGATTATCAAAGATTACAAAAAGAGGTCTTGATGGATTGGGTAAGTGGGCTAAGGAGTTTAACTTAGATGGAGAAACAAACAAGGACAGGATTTATACATTTAAGGGTAGTGCTGTAGAACAGAGACACCTAGGAGTTCAAGTACATAATTCTGCGAAATTTGCGTCACAGGTAGAGAGGGTGGTTAAGAAAGAGTTTAGTACGCTTGCCTTCATTGCTCAGACCTTTAAGTATACGAGTTGGGATGTCATGTTAAGGTTGTATAGGACATTGGTGAGGCCTCTTCTGGAGTACTGTGTGCAATAATAGAGTCACAGAGTGATACAGCTTGGAAACAGATCCTTCAGTCCAACTACCACTTGCCATTATCCCAAACTAAACCAAATTCTACCTGACTGCACTTGGCCCATACCCTCCAAACCTTTCTTATTCATGTACCTGTCCAAATATCTTTTAAACATTATAAGTGTAACTGCATCTACCAATTCCTCTGAAATTCATTCTAGACATGAACCACTCTCTGTATATAAAAAGAAACTGCCTCTTATGTCTTATTTAAATCTTTCGCCTCTCAGTGATTAGGAACAGCCTGTCACTAATTGACAGTGATGGGGCTGTACACTCTCGCTCAGTAACACAACCAGGGAGGCAACCCACTGTCATGAAACCATTTCAAATCAAATGCAAGAACAGAGAGCTACAGGGAAAAGAGTACAAATTGGTTACGATTCTTAAAAATCTCAAGCTCCATGTTTCACACAAACCAGCTGACAACAACCAACATTGTCTCAGAGAAGGGATCAAACAGGGAATTGGAGGCACAGTCCCAGTTCAAAGTTTCCAAAGTATTTATAAACAGATTTGTTCTGGGGTTGATGAGCCTCTTCATTCAATCAAATTAACCTAGACATTTCCCCAAGGAAAGAAGCTGGGATTTCAGAGACATGGTGACATCACTCCTATAGGGGCGATCACTCAGAATCTAGATCAATGTTCATTTTTGTTACTACTAAAAAGTCAGGATGTCATCTTTGCTTTCAGCTCTGGCCCCAAAGTCACCCAGACCCCAGTTGCTCTGAGATCTCCTGAGGTGACTTTCCAAATTCACCATCACAATAGCAACTGCCACCATACTCCACTCATACTGGCTCCCAAAGCCAATCAACTCATTCTCAAGGCCAGATATCGACAGATCAGCTTCAGTTCCCAGCCCTTTGCAGGAGTGAGGTGATCAGGACTGCTCAAGTCTGAGTGCCTAATGGGATCAATCACAATTGGTTAATCAGAAAAGGGCAGCAGTCTAGAGCAGAGGGATTTGATACAGTGACACAGGTCACTCAGTTACTGAAGAAGAAAAATAGATGAATATTTTAAACCTATTGAAGGGAAAGAAGTGGTCAGTGCTATTATTGAATTGAACATCTACCTCTCCGACAAGTTTTCTGTTGCACTTTGGGAGGTTTCTTTTGCTACTTACTCTCTTAAGATCATTGTGAAGAACATTTAGGAAAAAAAGCAGCAGTTCCTGAGCATCCTGTTGTGTACCATCAGAAAACGATGCATGCAGTTTGCCAAGGACTCGCTTCACTTCATCAGGAAAGATATAAACACAATCTCCAAGCCACATGTCCATGACTAAAGCAGAGAATGCATTGGATAGCTCTCCCCGCCCTCTATACAAGGAAAAGAAACTTCTATTAGAACAAAAACTCAACTTTTAATGACATTTATCTATTTTACAATCTCCTCCCCCAGTGAGCCAGTATCCTGATATATTTATGTATGATTTGCCCAAATAGCAACAAAACACTACTTTTCACTGTATCTCAGTACATGACAATAATAAATCAAATCAAATCCCCTCTAGGTAAATCACACGTCAGGAAAGCCCCAAAGTGTCACTCCTGGAATGGACAGGGTTCTGGAATTGAAATGGCCATTCCTTGAGCCTCATTTTCCTGTCACTCTGATGCTATTCCCTGGAATGCTCTTACCTGTTTAGATCATCTGCATAAGCTCCAGTTATGAAATACTCCACCAGTGGAGTGGTGTTGCAGAGACACTGCAAGATGCAGTTCATGTAGCAGGTGTTCCCCGAATTTCCAAGCCCAGTCTGCCCTGTGCCACCTGAGTGCCTCTCGATGCCAGTATTAGACACACTGGATTCCAAGGAGCCATTGCTATATTTAGGAACAAGATGGTAGTATCGAGCTCTGAGAGTTGTGGGTTGGGTAAAAGGAGAAAATAAAAATAAAACTAATTATTACTAACTTCCAAGTTACAAGAGTTGAAATCTCTCTTGTTCTGGGATGCAGTTCTCAAAACAATGGAATTGTCCCTGATTCTCACTCCCCATCCTGTTGTTTCCTTTACTCAATTTAAAACTACATTCTCTGCGGATTGTATTGAGCTCAGAGAGTACACTGCTGTTCAAAGAGATGGGTGAGGGGTTGGGGTTGGGATTGCCGAGCGAAAGTAACTTAAATCACCCAGACTTCCACTCATTCTGTGTATTCAACAATCTTTGTGGAACTGAGAAATCCTTTCTCTGAAGTTACATGGGCCAGGGCTTGTTACAGAGAGTTCAATTTCCCAACTTCACAATTAAACATCACCTGGTGAATAGTGAACAGGACAGCAACAAAACAGGCAGGTAAATAGCAGATATACAGATAGTGTGAAGTGATGGTGTTTGATCAAAATACCAAGAGGAAGAATGTTCTGGAGCTGCACTTCCCAAACATCGTTTCTCATTGTGATCTCAATTTGAAGCTCGGACATTGCTGTAGGCCCAGATTGTGGAGAGAGGTGAAGGCAGGCAGCACTGTTAAACACACTCATGTTTCCACTGGGCTTTTATTGGACAGGAAACAGCTGCAAAGATCATTCCATAAGGCTGTGCCCACCATCCACTCACAGCCCACACTTTGGAGAGAGCTGTGCAAAATGCAATGATATTGAAGGGAGCAGCTCAGAGAATAGAGTCAAGCAGACATGCACATTAACAAATCTCCAAAGGTGACTGGGCAAGTTAATGAGATGTTGAAGAAAACATGAGATATTTAAGTGAGATGCTGAAGACAAAACCATTCTATGCTTTTCTTAATCAATAGATAGGCCTCAACATGTCTTATGTACAATTCCAGGCATGATATGTTAAGAAGGATATTAAGATTTTGTATAGGGTACAGTCAGGTTTTACAGGATGTGATAGCTCAGTCATGGCAAGGTTAATGAAGCTGGAATTCTATGCTCTGCAGCAGAAAAATGGAGGGAGATTTACTTGGGGGATTTAAGTTAGGGGGGATTTGGTAGGTTAACCTGATTTATGCTATTTCTTCTGGCAAGTTACTCAGTAACTAGACATCACAAACTTAAAGTGATTGCTCAGGGGAAGAATGGCCTTCAACCAGAGAATTAATAAAGATTTGGAAAGCGCTCCCTGAAAAAGTAACGCAATCAATCCTACAGGAAAGCATAGGGAAAATTTTTAAAGGGGACTTGTTTCTGGAGAAACTATGCTGAAGACTGTCCACTGAGCAAGGTCTAAGCAGTCCACTGCAAAATGAATAACTGGAATTTTCTAAAAAACAGAAAAATACACAAAGATTTAGTGGCTTTTAGAGTAAAGCTTGACTTTAAAACCATTTGCTCAAAACACCATTTCTTCAACCCTGACTTTGCAGATGATATGAGTGAGAGTTTGGAGGGTGAGAAACTGCAGCTGCTGGCGAAGGAAAGGATTCATTCTCACAGGCAGAATATTTGACTCTGCACTCATGCAGCCAATCATGTTAGTGACACACACCACTCATACTCAGCCAAGTGTTCTCGAGATGTCAGTTTGACTGACTGGGCCAGTATTTATTGTTCATCCCTAGTTGTCCTGGAGAAGTTGGTGGGGAACTGCTGCAGTCTGTGTTGTAGATAGACCCACAATGCCCTTAGGGAGGGAATTTGTTTCCTAGATAATGTCAAGCTTCTTGAGTATTGTTGGGGCTGCACCCACCCAGGCAAATGGAGAGTATTCCATCACATTCCTGACTTGTGCCTTGTAGATGGTTGACAGGCTTTGGGGAGTCAGGATGTTGGTTACTTGCCGCAGTATTCCTAGCTTCTGACCAGCTCTTGTAGCCGCTCTGTTAATGTGGTGAGTCCAGTTGAGTTTCTGGTCAATGATAATCCCCAGGATGTTGACAGTGGGGGAATTCAGTGATGGTAATACTATTGAATGTTAAGGGGCAGTGGTTAGATTGTTTCTTATTGGTGAAGGTCATAGCCTGGTATTTATTTTCCACTTGTCAGCCCAAGCCTGGGTATTGTCCAGATCGTTTTGCATTTGAACAGTGTCTGAAGAGTTGCGAATGGTGCTGAACATTGTGCAGTCATCAGTGAACATCCCCATTCCTGACCTTATGATGAAGGGAAGGTCATTGATGAAGCAGCTGAAGATGGTTGGGCCGAGGACACTACCCTGAGGAACTCCTGCAGAGATGTCCTAGGGCTGAGATGAGTGACCAACAACCACCATGACCATCTTTCTACATTTCAGGTATGACTCCAACTCACAAACTTTGTCCCCAATTCCAATTTTGCTAGGGCTCCTTAATGCCATATTCAGTCGAATGCAGCCCTGATGTCAAGGGCTGTCGCTCTCGCCTCACCTCTGGAATTCACCCCTTTCGTCCATGTTTGAACCAAGGCTATAATGAGGTCAGGAGTTGAGTGGCCTTGGCGGAACCCAAACTGGGCATCACTGACCAGGCGCTGCTTGATAGCACTGTTGATAACACCTTCCATCACTTTACCAATGATCAAGAGTAGACTGATGGGATGGGAACATTTGTCGTTATTCCAGTCTGTTAACATAATAGCAGTAACCAACTAATCATAATTTCTCAGAGACAGCATATGGTGGTAGAGCAGTCTGATTGTTCAGATACATTCACTGCCCTTTCACAATTACAGAACAACACTGAGACAAAAATTTCACACAATTCCCCTGAAGATTATTTCACGGTTCAGAAGATGCTCAGTGGAACAAACCACCTGAGAACACAATCCAACTGGAAACTTCCTCATTGCAGCTGGGAGGATTGGTCAATATTTCCAATAACAGGGAGTGACTGTGGGTTGTCATTTAGTCACTGAACAGTTGAGGATACCAACAGCTATTAGAATTAAATTTTATCATCATGTTTACTCAGGGAAAGGAATACAGGAGTACAGTGAAAAGTGAACAAAGTCACCATTTTCCAATACCATCTTTGTTACAGAAACCAGAATTAAAAAAACAGATATAAAAGAAACCAAACCAAAGTGAAAGAAAAAATGTCCAGATCTTAAAGTGCCATCTCAGTAAAAGGTGGTTGGAACGCTCTGCCTCCGATGCAGAGGAGTGTGTTCAGGCACATTCAAGACGAAAGACATAGAAATTAAGATAACAAAGAAAAGCATGCTTATAGATAGAAAATATAACTGAGAACCAGAGTTAACATAGAACGTTCCATGGGAGGCAAAAAAGTAAAGAAAAGATGCAGAGAGGGAAGATGACTCCTACCATAAAAGGATGTCTCAATCTTTTAGGGGCATATAAATATTGAAAAGGTTAGTAAAAGGAGGAGTGGGGGCAATTAGGAACCGAAAAGGGGAGTTATACATGGAGGCAGAGGACATACTGAGATATGAAAGGAATGCTTTGCATCTGTCTTCACCAAGGAAGGTGTTACAAAGGCCCTAGTCACAGAGGAGAAATCTCAGTCACTAGAAATTGACAATTGACAAGATCAGTGACAGATGGTATTTAATCCTGATAATTGTGAGGTGATGCACTTTGAAAGAAGTAACAAGGGAGTACTCAATGAATGAAATACTAGGAGGCAGACAGGAACGGAAGGATCGGGGCATGTTTGCCCACAGGACCCTGAAGGTGGCAGGAGGAGTTAATAGGGAAGTTAAGAAAGTATACAGGACATTTGCTTTCATCAGTCATAACAGATGATCAGAGCTGGGAGGTCATGTTGGAGCTGCATAGAACTTAGGCTAGGCCACAGCTGGGGCACTGTGTGCAGTTCTGGTCACTAGACTATAGGAAGGATGTGATTGCTCTGGAGGTGGTGCAGAGGAGATTCATCAGGATGTTGACTGGGAGTAGTTTAGCAATGAAGAGAGGCTGGATAGGCTCAGATTGTTTTATTTGAGCTGAGCAGGTCAAGGATGGAGCTGATTGAGGTGTATAAGATTAAAAGAGGTGTGGACAGATTGGATAGAATGCAGCTGTTCCCCTTAATTGAGGGTCAAAACAAGGGGGCAGAATTTTTAAGGTGAAAGGCAGGAGGTTTAGAGGCGACCTGAGGAAAATCCTATTCACCCAGAGGGTGACAGAGATCTGGAATGCAATGCCGAGGAGGGTAGTTGAGGGCACGGAACCTCACGGCCATTTAAAAGTACTTGGATGGGCACTTGGAATGTCATAACATTAAAGGCCAAAGGGCCAAATGCTGGAAAGTGGGACTGATGTAGATTTAGAGCAGTGCAGTATCGATGGGCCAAAGGGCCTCTTCTGTACCGGACAAGTCTATACGGAAATGGTATTAATCCCTAAAACAGTAAAAAAAAAACCCAAACCATCAAACACCAGGCTGTTTCTGTCAGGATGAGAGCTCACTGTTCTAGTTAAGGACACCAAATTCAACTTGCAAAATGGAAAATGGAATCTTTTCAGCAAATCTGTTTATTGTAACAATAATAATGTTTATCTTCGAGAACAAGACTCTGCTGATAACCCACAGAGCCAATGAGAGGAAACTGAGTGCCAAGGGAGCGCCACACTGTCGGGAGGTGGGAGGTGGGAGGTGGGGCACTGAAGGAGCGCCGCACTGTCGGGTGGGGGATAGCCAGCGCTGAGGGAGCGCCGCGCTGCCGACACAGCAACCTGGATGGGACCTTGCTGTGCCCCATGTATTTCCTCTAATCCAGCAATGACAACACCTGGCAAGTACCTGCTGGTTGTAAAGCACTTTAGAAAAGGGGCACTGTGATTCAAAATTTAAGAAATTCTTTCACCCACAACAAGAATCCTGCTACTTCAGCCATGTGATCCATAAATAGGAACAGTCAAAGGTAAGTGAGCAGAAAGATCCCAACAACAGAATAGAAATAAACCTCACACACATACACAACCCTGTCTAAAACCCCCACGACTCCCATTTGGGGGTAGCGCCAGGACAGGGGATGGTCCCAATATTGGTGTCCCTGTCTGAGAAACTCTCCCACTCCCAGCTCAGCCCCCTCTTTGGTGTGATACACCCCACACAACTTGCCCCACTCACCTCATTCCTCCTCCTGCTCTACCCTGAATGAGGTAAACAAGCACAGGTCAATGTGGATTGGACAATAAGCTTTGGATAATTAAACTTTCTATTCCAGTCTCTGTATGATTTCTGTCAGATTTTTAGCTACATTTTGTTAAAATCATCAAGTTTTTTAAAATTAAAAATTCAAAACATTCACCTTCATTTTTAAAATGTGTCAGCATTGTCCCAACACAAAAGGAGGCCATTCAGTACATTAAGTTTATGTTGTTCCTATACAGGAGCCCAGTCAGTATCACTCCCCCTACATAACCCCCGAAACTCAGCAAATTCATTTTCCTCAAGACCAGTTTTCAAGCAGCTGTTCCCATTCTTGTTGTTAAAATGTTTTAACAATTGCCCAATAAACCAAATGGGACAGATTTTGATCACAAAAGCACTGATGGATGTACAGACTAGCCTTACCTACTATTGTTACCCTCCATAGAGATATGTCATCATTACAAAGCTAAAATTGTAAGAACTCTGTGACCCGATCTCTTCCCATTAATCTTCAGTAACCACCAGCTCCCGTGATATCATTGCATGAAATGACATCACAAAGTAACAACAAGAGGGTGCAATCAAAGTGAAGGGTTTGTGTTAGCACCCAGTCCCCATCAGGACAAATTCACTCTGCAAAGGTTTTTAAAGGATGGCAGTCGACAAGTTGATCAGTGAAGGTACAGCAAGCTCCAGGAGGAGTGGTTGAGTTTTCTGGTCAGACAGGCAAGGCCATTAGTGAGTGTTGAATGAGATTGAACTCAGTGTTCATTGATGCTGCTTAAACTCCCCCTGTCTTTCTGATTGGTTGTACTTAAGGATATTTGTGTAGCCAATCACCACAATCTTAGCCAATGGGTTAGCAATCAGGAATTATGGCTGAGCTTATTTCAACATCTTCAGTTTAAGGAATTTGCTGCTGATTGTGTGAACTCATACATGTGCCCTTTGACCTCTGAGATCTGCAGTTTACCATCTCCCAGTCTGACCATCATTCAGTTTCTCGTGATTGATTATGTTCAGAAAGTTACAGATCTGAGATTAAATTATCGAGTGAGCATCAAAAACAGGAAACATCTGATCCTGGCGCTGTCTTTCAATTACTTGAAAGGATCAGGTCCGAACCTATCCCTCCCTTAGGCAACAGGACAGGACAGCTCCAGAGAGGCACACAAACAGAAGATGCTGGAAAAACTCAGCAGGTCTGGCAGCATAAGTGAAGAAAAACATCAGAGTTAACGTTTTCAGGTCCAGTGACCCTTCCTCAGGATATTTGGCTGGAATAACATGTTAAGTATAAGTAGCAAATGTATGGTGGACTGTGTTCCAAGGAAGTTAATCCGAGTGTTCCTCAACCTTAAACCTTGGATGAACCAGGAAGTCAACTCCCTACTGAAGATCAGACGTGCAACATTCAAGTCAGGTAACCCAGACCAATACAGAAAATCCAGATACAACCTCCACAAAGCCATCAGGGAGGCCAAGGGGCAGTACCGGACTAAGTTAGAGGCCAAGACCTACCAAACAGGCTCCTGCTGTCTACGGCAAGGCCTCAACAACATTACAGGATACAAACTGAAACAGGGTAAGATTGCAGACAATGACACATCCCTCCCTGACACGCTCAATGCTTTCTATGCTCAGTTTGAGCAGAATACCATCAGTGCGGTGACACCTGCCCCAAGAGCCCCAGACACACCTGTTCCCCTTGTCACTGCTTCAGACACCAGATCGGTTTTCCTGGGAGTCAGCCCAAGGAAAGCAATGGGCCTGGACGGTGTCCCCGGCCGAGCACTCAGTTCCTGTGCAGACCAGCTGGTGGAGGTATTCACCGACATCTTCAACCTCTCCCTCCTACAAACCAAAGTCCCCACCTGCTTCAACAATCATAGAATCCCTACAGTGTGGAAACAGGCCCTTCGGCCCAACAAGTCCACACTGACCCTCAGAGCATCCCACCCAGACCCATCCCCCTATAACCCACCTAATCTACAAATTCCTGAACACTAAGGGCAATTTAGCATGGCCAATCCACCTAACCTGCACATCTTCGGACTGTGGGAGGAAACCGGAACACCCAGAGGAAACCCATGCACCCATGAAGACCACCATCATCCCCATCCACAAGACAGCACATGCAATGTGCCTTAATGACTACCTCCTAGTGGCTCTGACCTCCAAAAACATGAAGAGCTTTGAGAAGCTGGTCATGGCTAACATCAACTCCAGTCTCCCAACCTGCCTCAATCCCCTACATTTTGCCTACCAGTGTAACAGGTCCACAGCAGACACCATATGCCTAGCCCTGCACTTATCCTTGGAACATCTGGACATCAAGGACACCTACATCAGACTCCTGCTCATTGACTACAGCTCTGCCTACAACACCATTATCCCCTCCAGACTGATCTCAAAACTGCGTGACCTTGGTCTCTGCTCCGCCCTCTGTAACTGGATCCTCAGCTTTCTGACCCACCGACCGCAATCAGTGAGGATAGGTAACTGCACCTCCTCCACAATAACACTCAACACTGGAGCTCCCCAAGGATGTGTCCTCAGCCCCCTACGGTACTCCCTGTACA